ATCTTGATTAAGATCTATTAATTTATCTTGTTAATAAACTGAATATTACATCTGTCTTGAAATTACATATTGGAATTGAACTACATTCTAGCTAGTTATAACAAGAACACTATCATTACCTATCTTTAGATTAACTTTGAAATAATAGTAGACATCTTCTTGTTAATAAACCTTTTAAAGACTCTCCTAAATATCATTTTAAACACGTGGTCGCTTTTGTCACGTGTTTTTGTAATATTAGGTTTAATACTCGCCCTCATCTCAGAACTTGCATCAAAAAGATAATAATATATACTTTTAGAAGAGATCTAAAGATAAATTTAATAGAATTTGTATTATTAATATCTCAAATTATAGATAAAATAGAAAAAATATAATATCAGTATCATTTACTGAGAAAGTTTTATTAATACTAAATAAAAGTTGTCATCATGAATTTTTTACTAGTTAAAGAGATCAATTCATATCTTTAATTTGAAGAACTTCTAGTAGAAGAAATAAAATTACTAATCAAGATAATACAAATAATATAAATGATACTGATAGAAATTTAGGTAATAACATAAATAATATTGGTAAAGATTTAAGTAATGATATAAATGATATTGATAAAGATTTAGATAATAATATAAATGATATTAGTAGAAATTTAAGTAATAATACAAATAATATGAGTAAAAATTTAGATAGAAATTTAGATAATACTATATATTAGAGATATCTAGAACAAAGACAAATTACATAAAAATTTTATGATTATAATTGGTTAATACAGATAAAATTCTGATTGATCAAGAAAGATAAAGATGATTAATATCACATAATAATAAGAAAATTATAAAATGTTATTTTTTTATTTTTATTTTATTTTTATTTTGTTTTGTTTTTGATTTTGGTTGTGATTAGATTTAGATTTGATTTTGATTTAGTTTTTTGTAATGATAAGTTTTTTTTTCATAATTTAACTAGTTTATTTTTTTATAAAAATTAAAAGTATCAATCTTTTTTTCTTAATGTTAGAAAAAAAAATATTTTTTTGCTTTTTGATTTAGTTATCATATTCATTACCTCTTCAGTTATTATCTTTGTCATGCCTTTGATTATTATCTCTGCTATATCTTTAGTTATTATCTCTACTATATCTTGGTCATTATAACTTTTTTAATATCAAAACTTATATCAGATAAAAAATAGTATTATCTTTTTAATATAAATAATTTTTTAGAAATTCTAATAGAGAATTTTAATAATAATTGATAACTATTAGTAATAAATATTTGGATAAAATAGAATTTGTATGAATATATAAATGGTAATATTCAGAAAATTTTCACTTGCTGTTTTATGAAATATCAAAAATCAAGTACTTAACAAAAGAAAAATATTTTAAATGAAAAATATTAAATAACAAGAACATGACTATCTGACCTATCTTGTGAAGATTAAAGTTACTTAAATAGTCTCTTCAAAAATAATTTGAGTAGAATGATATAAAAATACTTCAAATTATACATATTCTTTATTAGAAGTTGATAGGATAAAATATTCAAAAGTCATTAAAAGTTTAGTTAAAATAAAGATAGTTAAAAATTATTCATTTCTAGCAATCATAATTATTATCAAAGAATATACAATAATAGAATTAGATCTTGATATATATATATATATATGCAAGTTAATATATAAAGAAATAATAAATATTAAATATAAAGTTTATGAATCTATAAAAACTCATCTTATTAGAAATTTGAATTTAAAATTTGATATTTTAGAAGTTGTTTCTTACTTAATAAAATAGAAATATCTTATTAAAAATTATCACATCTTCTAACAGTTAACTAAAGATATCATATTTATATATTTAGAATAATTAAAGAAACTTAAATATTATAAATAGTTAACACTTATAAATTTAATATACAAAATCAATCAGTATGATTAGCATTTATTTACTCTTTATATCTGTGATACTTACAGATGCTGAAATATGAATACTCACTTTTTTGTAAGTAGTGAGGATGAAAATACAGTTATGAAAGTATTAATAATAATTTATAATAAATATTATTACTGATCTCTCTATTATATACTTTTAAATTATAGTAGTATTGAAACTAAAAACATTAAAAAGATCTTTCTCAGTATAACTGTTAGTAAATAAGAATATTAAATAATTTTTTATGTTATCCATGTTATGAGAACATGAATGCAAAGAATTTATGAAAAAAAACTTGGAATATCATAATTATGATGATGCACAAAAGAATAAGGATTGATTGTAAAAGTCTTATTCAAGCTGCTATTAATCATTATTCTATTCTTGCTATGTAAAACTATATTAAAAAAAACTATATGAAAAATACATAGTAATGGAATTTATGAACCTATTAATATTTTCCTCTGCTCTTACAAGTCATAATTACAAATCTATTAGAATTCTTTCATAATAAATTGAAGAGAAAAATATCTTTATTATATGATTTAATTGATATGAGATTTTTTTATTTATTTTATTTATCTATCTATCTCATTTTGTATCTAAATTTTTCTTTCTTTAGATACTGTTCATGATATTATTAATATTGATTATAAAAAAAATCTGAATTCAAAAGTACTATCTTTGATTTTAGTATCAAGAAAGTGTCTGTATATGGTATTAATAAAGATATTCTTGAGGAAATCTATAGATTTTCCTTTCTATTTCAATAACTAATTATTAAAAAGATCTATATTATAATAAATAAGCTTGAAAAAGAAAAAGATATATTTAATTTAACTTCTCATAATTGTCACTGTGTATTTTACAATTAATATTTATTACTATACAAACATATTTTTTATAAACATATACATGATAATAAATTATTAATTGCTAATATATGAAGAATATTTTGAAAAATATTCAAAAAAAGCAGATTCAAGATTTATAAAAGTCATGAATTATTTATTGAATATGTGCAAATAAAATAATAAAAAAAGACTGAAGATTAAAGACTTGCTATAGTCAAATTAACTGAAAGAATATATGATAATATTGAAATATTGAAGAGATAGATAATGTTGAGAGAACAACAGCTTTTATCTCTATGTTAGAAGTCTTCTTGAATCTGATTATCTTGTAATTTGATCAAATAAAAGAAAAAAATTAAAATTATTAATATTTAGTTAACAATAAAAATACAAATTATAATAATACTTTTCTTCATTACTGAAATTTAAATAAGTTTTAAAAATTGATATATTATATTAAAAAATTTATCATATTATATTTGTAATGATAAATAAAACTTAAATATGTAAAAATTCTTATCTTGTATTAAATATCATCACTTTCTATCAATAATAATAATAAGAATTATTTAATTATATTTTTTGGCTAATCATTATTTATATGTTCTAACTAATTATTATTTATTTACATAATTTGCCTTCACTTTAGATAAGCTCTATATATTATTACCATTTTAAGATTATGCATATGTAATTATTTTAAAATGATAATAGTGACTATGTTCATGACAATTATTTACTTTTATAGCTTCAAGAGATTATATAACTAATTATCCTTTCAATAAGATGATATATGTGAGATTTACTTCTGACAAAATATAATTATCTTCTCAATAAGATAATTTATACATATTTTATTTGTAACAAAATATGATTATCTTCTCAATAAGATAATATATGCAAGTTTTACTTTTAATCAAAATACTCTCTCAATAGAGCAAGAAGAAAATAAGATAAGATATAAGATAAAATATATATGTTTATTAAAGAAAAATACTAATTAATTACTCTTAACTTAGTAGTAATTACTTCTATCAAACTTAATTATACCTCCCACTATCACCAACCCTATCCCAATAATTATTAGAATAAAGATAAATGAAAACTTGTTCTTGTTAAACAATCCTTCTGTTGCTGATGTCATGACTATGATCATAATTTGGGTATTAAAGAAAATGCATAATTGCATAAGTATAACATCTTGTTCAGGCTTGTAATTATTTCAACATTTAATAAAATCTTCATCTCCATCTCATCTTTGAAAATGACTCCAGATATTAAAACTGGTAACGGAAAGTAAATTGATTACAGTATAAACAAGATTGAGATAATGTTGCTATCAAAATAAATCAAGTAAGCGGCGCCACCACTAACATTTATAACAAATCTCAGTGAAAAGTTCAATGGCAAATGTACACTATCTAAGCAAACATACCGGTTTTTTCTTTTCTTGGGCAATTAAGTACAAGGCATCACTTCTTCCCTGGTCAGTAGTGATAGTAGCATACCTGGCTCTTTGGGTCCTACTCATACTGTTATAGACTGCCAGAACCTGAGGATCGATAGGGACACCATTAGCAAAAGTATAGATAGGCGCATCCATTTTTTACGGGATATTTTTTTTGACAATAGATCCGTGAGAATTGAGGGAATTGATAAAGAAGTCTCATCTGATATACGTACGATCAACTGGTCTTGTGACCGAAGTTCAGTCTCGTGACTTAATGATCAACGTTATTGTCACAAGTAACCTTAAAATGTATTTTCTTGGCGTATGGTTTTATAATCCATTATATGTTATAAAATGATCCGTATGAATTTAACTTCGGTACTTTATGCCGATATCTGCATAATAAAAAGATTTTGAATGAATGTGCTTTCTATATAAAGTAATGTCGAATACTCAATCCAAAATCGATTCGTTGCAAGAATTAAATTCTCAGCTCATAGCCACGATTGCTGAGCTTAGAAAGGAGAATGCCAAGATTCCCGAACTTGAAAAGAAATTTGCTGAGATTAAATCTGAAAATGTGAAGCTGAAAAAGATTATTGAGGAGAATGTAAAGCGTGATGTTAGAGTTGAGAAACTAGAGCAAAAGAATAAAGAGCTTGAGGCTAGGCTTGCAGTAGTGGAACAAAGTTCTGTGGCAGTGGATGGACAACCACAGAATGACTCACGGAGTGAGGATGCTAACACATCTAAGGAAGCGATACCAGAGGTAGTGTCGGCTGTTATCGTACCAGATTCTCAAGTAGTTCGGCTCGAACATTATAAGCCTGATTGTAATATAAATGATGCGGTTCCTTCTGCCGATTCCAAGATATTGGAAGATAAGAAGATCGATGAATTCCTGGGTGGAGTGCATAAGAAAAGGGTTAGCGATGAGATCAGGCAGAGAAAGCATGAGGAGAAGCTTCGAGATCAAGACATATCTTCGGTTAGCCATAAGAAAAAGGGAACAGATAAACTCCGGCAAGAATTGTTCAATACTTCTTTAGAGCCGAGTTCGCAAGATCACTCTATATCAAAAAATATTAAACCAGGACAGATCGAAATTTCCGAGACGGCCCGTCCCGAAAAATTTGACGGCATGGATGGTTCTACGAAGTGTATTGTTAATTCATTCGACATTAATGAGGTATCACAACATTTAGCTCAGTTGTGCGATACAGCCATAGGCGCAGATGATCGAGCTTCGAAGGCTAATCAGGAAGAAATCATGTGCTGGTCTCCTTATGGTAGGGATTTTGAATTTCAAGTTGGTGAGATGAGTAGTAAAAATAAAGTTGGTGAGAAAAAAGCAAGAACCTTAATTTATAATGAAATTGAAAATCAACTCTGTATTCTTCGTAAAAAACGATCACAAGATTTGGGCTTACAAGTTCCAAATATATCACGAGATACCTTGCGCAAAAAAACTCAAAGAGCTGTAAAAATTTATAAGTTATTCGCAAAGATAGGTTTAGATAAAATTAAACATATTAAGAGCTATAGTGCAAATTCTATCTCGGAACTTACTAATGATCAAATTCAAGAGATTATTAATCATGGTTCAGAGAGCCAAATCTCTAATTCTCCTTCGCTTGAAATCACACCTTAAGTATCTTCTGAAGATAATATAATTGAAATTTCCGGGACGGCCCGTCTCGAAAAGGCTTTATTAGAAACCGAGATAAATGTATCCTCTGTATCACGACCCAAGAAAGATTTACCAAAAGCAGAGGTAAATATGCCATTCAAACCTCTAACTGAATCAAAGACCCTACCTGAAAAACAGAATAATCCAACTCACGATCGTGATTATTTTCGTAATAAAATATTGTTCCGATATTCTGATATATATAAAGAATTTAGTAGTGAAAAATTCGATTATTATGGAATTATCGAGGAGTCCTTATGTCTAGTATGCAAGCACAGTCACGAGGAAGGAAAAAGTATAAAGGGTAGATACGAAGCTGGATCTTATTTTATTAAATGTGGAAAGCATGAATTGAGATAACAGCATAAGATGCTAACTCTACTAATGCACGAAGTGCACTTTCTCTGAAAGATAAAAATTATTGGAATAAAAAATCAGAATTATTCGTTCTATAAAAGATATTTTTTTCTGCACGATTTTGAATTAACTCATATTTACAAAATAATAACATGTCTTCTAACACTATTCCACAGCAAGATTATTCGTCTAAAATATTAACTGATGACTATCATAAATGGCATGCTAAATTGGTTGATTTACCAAGTCCTTTGACTGATAAAATTTATTTGAGCTTATATAGAGTGTATACGGAAGAGACTGGCCTTGATCCCTGGATAAAGTCTGAAGCTCCTGAATCTTCACAAATCGAAAAGGGAGCTGTGAAATTTTTTATTGCTACTGAGGCTGAGAAAAAAAGGTGGAGCATGGGATGCTTCCGTGGTGAGTTGGAGAGAGACATACGCTTTTATCGTGGAGGAATAAAAAGGAATGAAGATACCAGAAAATATCATAAATTTTTAACAGATCGGGAAAGACTGATTGGTGAAGAGTTATTACGTCGCAGTATACTAAAGAGTGGTTTAAGTACTGTATGGCTTGATGATCTCATGAAAGAGTGGAAAGAAATCCATGCTCAATTCGTACAAATTTTTAGCCAGACATAGCGAGATCCAGAGGTCTTCTACATATGTCAGGGACACTAGCTCCACTACAAAGCTCGATAATTAACTTTACCTTTTACTTTACGCTTGAGAATAGGGCGTTTCTTTACTGCTCTAGTCTTATGCGCATGTGTAACTTCTATTTCCGAACTAGATGTGGAAGAATTACTTGAATCGCTGTCTGAAGTATCTGAATTAGAAGTGTTAAAATCTTTCGATTCCCCGGGAAGTATTTTGTAAAAATCATGAATATCTCTTTTATTAACAGATACTATTACTCTCTCCCCTTTCTTCTCAGTTAGGTTTTTAATACGCAAAGTTGTTCTTACCCAGGCATCTTCTGCATCGGTCACTATTTCTGGTATATAAGTCTGGAGCTCATCATCATCATATTTGCGTCCATAGAACCAATTATTACCAAGCAATATATAATTAGGTAATGTAGAGTTATATCTTTCAACCAGTACTTCGGTTGGAATCGTGATAGATTTTTTATTATTAAGACGGATATTATCTTTTATATTAGATGTAAATGTAAGTGGGATTACGGCCAATCCAAGTGGAGATGTGGCTTCTTCTCTGATGAATTTGCTATCTTTTTCTTCGGGAGTTAATTTTCTGCTAATTTTACCACCTATTTTCTTGAGGAGCTTATCAGTACACATAGAGATTCCGAGAAATCCTGGTTCGAGGCGACAATTAATTTTCTGCGATCCTACTTTAGCTTTAACTATTTTTACTGTCATGGTAAGTTATATGTGTCTCGACACTAGCTTTGCTATTATGTAATATATATATTCGACCAAAAAATAACTAATGATTGATAAATAATTACTACCCCCTTTTTATCTTAACCAGTAAATCTCTCCAAAGCGCTCAACCTCTCTACTAACTCGTCTAATGGAAGCTCCAATCCACATTTTCTGGCTTCTAACTGATTCTCGAGTGATAATCCACGGATAAATTCATATCTAAGCCGTTCTTCGTTATATCCAGCTAATTTACTATATTTTTTTACTTTCCTGTAAAAATCCATTATCGAATCATTACCTTGTTCCAAAGATCTGAATTGGCACCATGTGCCAGCAGGCTGAAACTTTTGCATATCGGTGGGTACAGATGAGATTCTATTTAGATGGCCAACTATTTCATTCAGAGGATTTTTAAACCCGAATCGAATTACTTCTTTTTTATTATCTAATGATAGACCATTGAAGAATGTTCCCTTGAGGTCTTGATTATCTAAATCGACATCCAATGCTGTAACATATACCTTTATCATCTTGAAATAATCATCCAGGGATTGATCACCTTGCACTGGTGCTGGGATTCCTGATTTATTAACTAATGGTATGTCAGTTCCATCAAGTAGCATAAGAGTTTTATTTGGGAAGTCCACTTTCATTGCATTATCTTTAAATCATGAACCCCCCCAATATCAATACATGTTCAGGAATATTAGCAACAAAAATATCAGTAACTTTTACTTGTTTCCATTTAGAGTCATGAGACAGGATTGATATCTCTATTTCACGAATTACCCCTACTACATCAAGCTTTCTTATGGGATCATATATTTCTGCATTAGATGTATCATCAATTTTCAGACCTAGCTCGTTTACTACCTTATTACCTATAATATTACAATTAGCACTGAAATCTAATATAGCTGTAACTGGTACTTTATTAATTTCGCAAGATAAAGTTATCATTATGGTTCTATATTAATAATATATATTTAATAATGTATTTTTTACTTCGTATTAATAAATAATATTATGATATCTACAATGACAGAAAATAATATCAGTGAGTCAATTCGTCAAAATTTACAAGAGAAAAATTATAAAATCGTACCAGTAATAGTATTGGTTAATGGTAGGGATACAGAAGTAGTTTGTGATTCGAGTGGACAGTATTCAACTATTACATATAAAAAAGCAAAAGAGCTGGGTTTGGAAATAGATGAAAATCCATCTAATTCTTTTTACCATATCAAGTCCTCAGTTAATAAAGCCATATCTCATATCATTAAACAAATATCAAATAAAAAAATTCAGATTTCTCTTCACCAATTACTGGAGATAGTAAAACCCGAGATTTAGCAAGAAATTATAAACTCAATAACAAATCTGGATATCTCTCAGTATAATTACATTTCATGTGAAGCTAAAAGATGATACAAGAAGCTTATTTCCAAAAATACCACATCTGAGTCTGGGTCTGGCTCTGAATCGTCTAGTAATTAAGAATTTATTGTGGGTCTGATAAAAGCAAAGAAGCGTATAGTTTCAAGACCTTTAAGCAATTAGTTCTCATCATCAGAAATTTCTTCATATAGATCAAAAATATCTAATACTTCATCATATTCTTATTTAATCATAGGGGTGATTGGTCTAGGTGCTGGAATAATTGGCCTATCATTCATTACATCATAATGATCTGATGCTTCTTGATTTATTTTGTGCCTTAATGCTAACTTACAAAGACAGTTACATTTAGAGCGAATCTTACCTTTGTGAATTATAATAGCATGATCAGATCCTATTTTTCTTAAATATGATGAACTAATACCATAAGGAATTAAAAAGTTATTAATCAGATGAACATTCATATTACCATCTTTATCTTTTATTAGAAAAGGAAATCTCTTGGAAATTAATTTTTGAATCCAGATAAGTAATTCTCTAGCTCGCAGTAGATTTTTCTCCATCAATACAAATGGTTTAGATTTGTCATTTTTATTTTTGGCATAGCTAGTGCAGTATCAAGAATATTTAGGATTATACCATTCTGCATTATTTGAATTATACTGGTCTATATAAAGATTTCTCACATCTGCTGGCCTCATACATAGTATTACTATTATATCGATTAAATTTTATATTGTAGAAGAATTAGCTATGTCACATTTTTGAAGTCATCCCTGTACTTTTTCTAGATTAAAGAATTTGAGACAATCATATTCTTCATCTTCACAATGCTTTTGTCTTCTTCCTTGTTCTTTATTTGATGCAATAGTAATATCTAAAACATATATAGCTTCTAATATAATATAATTGACATTGAGTTGGCATAATTTTTTTTGGAGTAATTTAAGAAGAGAAGATTTGGCTATATTAGTAGGGCCTGTTTTTGCTAAATTACAAGTCAATTCATTTATTTCTTCAGCTTCAAGATTATCTTCATTCTTCTTAATATATAAAGCAAGTTTCTTAATCAGAACTCTATCTGTAACGCATCTTCCAGAAGTTTAGGTAGAAATTAAAATATATGTTTGATCTTTACTAAATCCTAATTTCTGAATTCGATTTCACACATGATCACGTATCTTGGCATCTTTCAAATTTTTAACCAATTCTTTAGCATAATTACTAAGTTTGGCTATGCTCATCTGAGAAGTTATATAAATTATAGTGATTTATATAACTTATTATAATTCTTGACATGATGTTTATAAGATAATTATGTGAACTATAACTATAAAAGATATTTTTTCAAATTGAAATTAATTATTCCAGGTTAATATATATAGTACATATCCAAAAATTAAATAGGTTGCGGTTATTGTAATTTTATCAGAAAATAAATATGAATAAGATACGAGTTCGATTGAATCCATAGCTCTACATAATAAAATTAATGAGAATATTAATAGGATCAAAAAAGATATAGCATTACTCAAAAGAGATCCTGAAAAAAATTATTCATATATATCAAGTATATGATTATACTTCATATCTAGAATTGAGTAAGTTAAATATATGATTTTCAAGCATAACAATTTTTACACATAATTCATCCTGCTTTTTTTGTTGATAATATTCTCTTTTTTGATACTTACTCATATGATTCCAATATGTACTATATGTAGAATATGTTAGCTTACAACAGTCATATTCTTTACAAGGAATTCATGTCAGAGAATTTTGATGATGTTTACATCCTTCTGGTTGATTATAATATTGATCACAGACTTTGCCAGTTCTAAGAATATAAGAATAATAATAAAGTTCCAGTCCTATATTTATTGCAATAATAATTGTATAGAATAATTAATTTTATTTTAAAGTTTTTCAGGTTAAGTATAATACTTTTATTTCTGGATTAAGTATAATACTTTTAATTTATACCTATATATTTTGTATACAAATTAATAAAATAAATTTATCTAGTGAATCAAAAAAATATTTATATGAATCATTACAATAACAGTATCTAAATCAAAAATTGACTAAATATAATGAAGTAAAAAAGTTTCTCATAGATTTAACAAATCTTGACTATGAACCTGATTATGAAGAATATATATATTATAAATACTGGCTTGTATCTAATAACTATATCAGCTCAGCTAATAAAAATAATATAGCACTTTTAGATACATATCAATCTGAAGAGATCCATTCTCAATATATAATTTGGATGGCAGGAAAAGATTATATAGTGATCAATTATCCTACTGAAGTTTATGAAATACCTAATACTCATGAATGTATTGATGAAAATCAGCTCCTTCATTTAATAATTAATATTAATGCAAGGCAAAAGTCTGATCTATCTAATCCTGAACTTTCTTCTCTGAATAGTAAGAAAATTACTCATAGAGATTTGATATCTTGAATTTTAGTTGCTTGTGCAAATACATTAAGTCTAATATCAAATTATATATCTTTCTTAAATTCTTTTGCATTAGCAAGTTCATCAAATGCTGAGAAATATAGTTGATATATTATTTATCCTCATACTCAATTCATAGATTATAAAGAACTTAAGTATTTTACAGAAAAAGTTATGGAATTAGTTAGAAAATCTTATTTTGAATTTATAAATGTTAACCTTCTCAAAAAATATTTCAATCTTCAGTTTCTTGGATCAGTAAAAGAGGAATATATAAAAAGACTAGCAATTTCTTCCATTAAAAATAAATTTCATAAGTTAGAAGATTATTTAGTTCAGCCTAAAGAGAATTATTTCATAATCTGATCACAAATCTTTTCTGA